ACTAGTTTGCAGTCCCACCAACAGTGCATGAGTGTTCCTATTTCTCCGCATCCATGCCAACATTTATTGTTTTGGGACTTTTTGATAAAGGCCAGTCTCACTGGAGATAAGTGAAAAAATTTTTTCAGCTAGATGTAAAAGTATAGAATACTAACAAACCATCATTCATTAATTTTTTTTTTTTGTTTGTCATTGGGATAGCATTTTACATCTACCGTTTTATAGTTATTCATGATTAATATTTCTTCTAATTCATAGTTAATTAAGCAATTATGAAAATCAAACTCTAAAACGTTGCTATGAAAGTTGTAAAATCCTGGTGGAAATTTTCATACTGAAGTTGTTTATAAAAGTGCTTACCTGTATTTTCTGTTGCAGTGGTTTTTGAAAGAAAAATTTCATATAGAAATCTAATATAAGCCCTCCAGGCATTTCATGTTCATTTCAACTTCAGAAGGAAGCAAACCAGGCATGGCGGTAGAAAACACAAACTCATTTTACAGATGAACCGAAAGAATTTTGTTATTTAGTGTTTGGCTAACGTCAAAGTACATTCAAAAGGAGTAATTACAACATAATGCTTTTGTTTTACATTTAAGAAGTTGATGTGGCTTTATAAATTACACTCCCCCAACAAGTAAGATTGGGGCATCAATGCTCGTGAGAACATTAGTTTATCTTATGTTAAGGTAAGAAATTGAAGTGGATAAACATTCTACATTACTGAAACCATTGATGGTTTTTTATATGCAAATTCACACTGAAAGTCTGCTCTGCTTTGTGGGAATTACTTTTAGGAGTAGATTGTGTTTAGCTTTTTGGAAGGAGTGCCAGTGTAATAAAAGCATTAAATCCCACCACTTCTTAATGCTTACAGGTACCCATTTCAAAGAACTTCCAACTCTTCTCCACTGCGCAGCAAAATTTGGCCTAAAGAACCTGGCTACTCATTTGCTTCAATGTTCAGGAGCAACCTGGGCGTCTAAGATGAAAAATATGGAAGGCTCAGATCCAGCACGTATTGCTGAAAGGCATGGTCACGAAGAACTCAAGAAAATCTTCGAAGACTTCTCAGTAAGTTTTTTTCCCATTATATCTCTAAAACTCGTTTTATAAAGTAAGTGTGCATGTGTATATTTGTGCACATACGTTGCTTTTTTGAAAGTGATGCTACTGCACAGCTACTTTGTTGGTTCTGAGTCTTCCATTGTCTTAAAAAGCATTTTGCAAGAATAGTTTGTTTGTTTTAGCATCGCCATAAACCAACTCTGACTCCATACTCCCACGCCTAAATACCCCTTTTTGAAACCTGTCTGTTCTTTCTGGCTTCTATAGAGCCTCTTTGCTATTGGAGAAGAGATGACGAAAAAGAAAATGAAAACCTATTACCTTTATTCTTTTGCGTGAGCATCTAGATACGGCACTATTAGACACAGGAAAACAGATCAATAATTATTAGGTTGAAGGAATGTTGACAATCATTCAAAGTCTACCCAATAAAAAGTGAATTCATGTTGCTTAAATTTGTTTTCTTATGTGATTTCTGTTCTTTCTCCATGTTGTGTCTCCGTTCTTTATTATGTAAGTTAAAGCCCCAAATTTGAGAACACTCCTTAAAAGGATGTTAGTTTCGTAAGAATGCAACCAGGGGAAGATTTTAGACGGGATCGGGCGCTGTCAGGGCGGTATGGCCGTAGACCAGGGGAAGATTTTAAAAGGAAAAGATACTATCTCAGTACATAAAACACATTTTGTGTTTCCATAATCAAGTTTAGAAACGTAATTATTTTCTGTTTGTAGCAAAGTTATATACGTTTTGCTCTGAAAAGTGAATTATTCTTCTGATGGCACTTAGGAAAATATAAAAGGACGATGTTTATGATGGTAAATATGCCAAAATTTGTCTTTGGATTCTCAGCACAGAAATAATTTTATTGCCAATTAACAGTTAATATAGAACATTTAAATGCTATCAGTAGCTTCTGGTTATTTTAGTTTTTACTCTGATTATCAGATTAAGCCAATCTAATACTGGATTTCTAAAAAAAAAAAAAAAAAAAACATTGTTATTTGTGATTTCCACAAAGAGAAATGGTGACCAATGAAACTTCTTCCATTTTTGAGAAATAGCAAAATAGTTAGAAAAGCATGGATATCATCCACAATCTGGAGTTACAATAGAATATCTTTTGCCCATATTTAAAAGAAATACAGAACATGAAGTTTTGTAACAAAATTAATAAGCTACTATATTTTGTAGTCTAAGTCCTTCAAATCAGAAATAAGTATTATTTTTATTTCGGGGGGATGTTAGACACCGATTGTCATTTATGCTAATGTTTAGCTAGTTCTCCTACTTTGTCGGATGCTGCGTTCATTTTAATAATTATCCACCGTCTGTAGTCAGTGACCAGAGCAGCATGTCATCCATTTCGGGCAAGTCAGTGAGTCAGTGGAGCCGTAGATATTTTCCCCTGATACTGTTACTCTGCACTTCCTGGGTGTCGGTCTTCAACTATCTACAACCCTATTCTCTAATGTTTACCTGCTGATGGATTTAGGTTAAAATTTTCCCCAGAAGCCTCAGCATGCAGAGTTACTTTCTAAGATAAGCCCTGATTTTCAAAGAGTGATGCTTCCACTTCATGCTCTCCAGTGAAGACTTAGCTCTTGACAGGTGGAGCCCCGTGCAAACTGCAGTGCTGCATAAATGACATAACACTGCATAATGTGACCGTAGACACGAAGTGACTACGAGGCTAGGAAGTGTGGGTTGATGGACGTGAGAAATGATTTTTCCTCTTCCATCCTCTGGGTGCGTACACTTCTGCTCCGGCAATAACAGCCCTGATTCCGGTTGATAATTATCACTGTTTCTGGGTGACTATTCACTCTTTTATAGTGGCCACATTCTAATTTTGCAGAGTTATACTTGATAATTATTCTAGGAAATTTATTAAATGATTTTCTATATCCTATCTCTTTGTGAGCTGTTACCTTCTGCCAGAATGTCTGAGTTGACATTACCATTATAGATAGGTTAGATCCATTATTTTGCAAATGTTTTATTGTCAGTAAGGAAGTGGCTGTAGCTTTTGCATGGAACAACAGATCTGCAAATGGATTTTAATATGGCTGTGGATAATTTTAGGTGTAATTATTTTGCAAGCTACCAAAGACCTTTTAGCAAATGTGTGATTAAGGAAATGGAAACATATGTATTAGCTTGTGACACATATGGGAATGTTTTCTGTTGATTTATCTACCACATAAATTATGCTTCTAATTATCAAATTTATCTAAAATAAGTCCAGAAGTCATATCTTCTTAGTGAAGGTATGCCGGATAACCACATGTTAACATTATCTATTCTAAGTTATAGTAGCTGTGTCTTTTTAAAAGTATATCTAAAACTGAAAGAGAAAAACTGTGGAATCTCATCATGCTGCTAAAATACTTTATTGTTTTTAATATTTATATAGCTTTACTGTTATAATCACATTCTGATACATCTGAGATCATCACATATGTATTCAAATTTTCCACAAATCACTATTTCAGAAGAGTTGAAAGGAGCAGATATTTTTCAAGTTTGAGGTTCACAATTGACCAGTGGACTGACTATACTCTGTACTGAAGAAATACCTATTTTTAAATTCAAACATTGTTCCTCCCCAGCTGATTTACTGATTTGTTCAATTCTTCCTAATCCCCTATCAATGAAACATTGTTCATTTGAGGATCTCACTGGGAATGGCAATACAGTGGGTTGGGTCATCACTGATTAAAGTGGATAGGAAGAAAAACCGGTTATGATTTTAGAAAAATACAGAGGAAAGCATTAGCAAGGTATTTATAAAACATATAGCACTCACATCTTAGTATTAACTATGTGGACAGGGGCTAGGGGGAGATCTCAAATCATATTTCTTATGTTGCTTCATGGCATTTTTCCTTTGAGAGGTTAACAATTTATACACAATCTATGAACAGAGCCTCTTCTTTATGAATGAATAACTTTCATGGTTTGATAGAGCTATCTAATTAACACCTGTATTTCATTCATAGTTTCAATACTACTACTGGATGACAATATCATTATTTCTATTATATATTTCTATAATTTTTTAAATATCTACTCGTATTTTGGTTTCTTACAATGTCTCCTGAAAGAATTAATATGAAAGGTACATGGATAAAAGGCAAAAGATTTGGTATTTAAATCCACAACTGGGTATGAACCATGATTTGCTTAACTTAATTCTTGAGGGAAGCCTCCATTTCAAACAGCAAAGAGTGACATTGGTGATTAATTCAGTGCTTTAAAAACTTACCTTTTAAATTAAAAATACATGAAAATGTGAAAACAAACTGAAAGGTAGTTTACATCAGATTAAGAGGTATTTTGAGATTTAAGATAAAGTATATAACAAACAGTATGTGTTTTGAGTAAAATAATATTAATATAAGTAATACTTCCTTGTATGAGCTCAGTTATATCACTCCGTCCACCCCATTTAAAACCCTTAACAAAATGATTACATTGATGCATAAATAGACAAGAAAAAAACATACCTTTCTCTGTTGGCTGGCTATGGAATTGGAGAACCAACAAGTGTTTATTATTTTGGAAATAATATTCAGAAAATATCTTTTTTATTCCACCAGTGTTTGCTCAGGTAGTTTGGCATAAATATTAATAAGATCTTAATAATAAAATTTCTTCAAGAAAATTTGGGAAATAGAAAAATGAGTTTTCTTGCACTTTCTCTGGCTGGCTTTTCAGAAGGACTCCTGTTGGGGAATCTTGCTGTTGCTCAGAGATGTGATGAGAGTCCTGTGACATCCTGCTCTCGCCGACCTACCCTACGCTTCTCTTTGCCCTGTGGACGGTGGGCTTCTGTGTGTGTGTGTGTGTGTGTGTGTGAGATAGAGAGAGAGAGAGACTGAGGTTGAGTGGTCGATTCTGTTGCCCCCTAGTATCTGACAGACTCTGGTTTTGTTCCCGTGGTCGGGTTTGGAATGCAGGTACAAAGTGGGTGTTGAACCACTTACAGTCTCCCGAATATACAGCAATAATTAACTGACTAACATCGAGAACGCATTGTCAGAAGTTGGGTTTCGTGATTAGGCCAGCGAACGTTCATCTTCTTGGCCCTTCTCTTATTCTTTGCATTGCTCACTCAGTTCTTTACGTATAACTGTTTGATTCTCAAGTAGATCGTTCCATTTAATTCAGGATATATGAGTGTCATATAATTAAGTTTAAACGATTAGCTGGTGTAGTTTCTCTTTCCTGTGAGTCTCACGGCTCACGACGGGCAGTGGGCTCCCTTCCCCTCCACCGCCAGGTGCACGGAAGGTGCTCGGCAGGTACTTACAGATTGACGGGGCAGAAGGCAAGAGTCCAGTTAAGGACCTGTTCGATCTCTCTCACTCAATCCTATCCTTAATAGTTGCCATGTTGTGAATAAAATAATTGGTCATGTTCCCTATATCCTTAGAAGTTTTTTAAAGTTTGGTTTTAGAGGATTCATAGGTAGCCCAACTGCTGTCTTCAGCATATATTTTTAATAGGCCAGATTACACTGAATTTGGAATTCCAGCCTTTGTTCAGTACCGATGCTCTGTCAGAACTGAAGAAATGGGAACAAGTCACATAACTGCACTTGGCTGTGTGTAATTACAAATTTACGTCTCGGTTACATGCTTTTGAAGCTACTTAGCGATCTCGCTCTAACATTCCATTAAACGCACCATGGTGGCTATTGCAGATTTTTGCTCTTCCCCACGTCCTCAAACCCAGCTCTAAATGCCTGTGTAACTCCCTTAACTCTCTTCTCGTCCTTGTCAAATTGTCACTTTCCTCTACTCCAAGAGCCTTGGGACTCAGCCAGGTCTGGATTTTAAACCTGACTTCATCAAAAACCAAGTTTGCATTCTTGGAAAAAAGTAATTTCTTACAAGGAAGGTGTTTTTAGGATTTGATGAAATAAATGGGAAAACGTTAAATATATAGAAGATCCACAAAAAATGTTACTGCATTTACTTTATTTGCTGTGGATTTATTGTTA